GAATCGATTATTGTGATGAAAAATTAACAAAAGTAGGCTTTAAAACTTTCAATAAAATAGTTATTATTTAATTTATTTAAGTGCTAGAAGTGATCCCATTTATTCTGAATGAAGAGATTATGCATACTTTAGAATAAAATAAAATTACATCAGTTAGTCATAAATATATAAAAGATTTAAAACGTTGTTGGTGTAGTTCCAGAACCTTCATAAACATAGAATAGGAGTGAGTATTAAATAAATGAAGAATAAAAGAAGGCTTTCGACTCGATATATCCTAAGGCAATAATAGAAGCCCTAGTGTAACAAGGTATTGCCAGGCCTTATATGGAAACTCGCCAACATATACAAAGAAGCCAAAGCAAGAGTAATGATATATAAAACAACTTCAGAGTTCCCAATTGGCAAAGGAATACGACAGGGAGACCCGATATCCCCAAAGCTGTTTACAGCAACACTAGAAGAAATGGACCAACAAAGGATTAAAAATTGATGGTGAATATCTTAACCATCTAAGATTTTCTGATGATATAGTCCTAATCGCAATAGCCCTAAAAAATTACAAGCACAAATTAACGAACTAAATACAGCCAGCAATAAAGTGGATTTCAAAATGAACTTAGGAAAAACTAAAGTAATATACAACGAATTAGTGGACAAAAAACACATTCTAATAAATGACACAACACTGGAAATAGTAGACGAATACCTATATTTGGGACAACTAATACACAGCTCGGGATCTCTACTACCAGAAATCAACAGAAGAATTAAGTTAGCATTGAGTACTTATGGAAGAAACTCGATCATATTCAAATCTAGAATGCCACTTTATCTAAAGAAGAAAACATTCGACCAATGTGTACTACCAGTAATGACATATGCATGCTAAACTTGGACACTTAAAACGGACATCATAAGGAAACTGCAGGTCGCACAACGTTCAGTGGAACGAAATATGCTGGTAAAAACCAAAAGAGACCGTAAAAGAATAGAGTGGATACGACAAAACACCCAGGTAATAGATATGATCCACAGAGTCAAATCCCTCAAGAGGCAATGGGCAAGACACCTGGCAAGAAGGACGGACAACAGATGGACCACAAAACTTACAGTACGGGGAATTAAGAGACCTATAAGAAGATCGAACCTGAGATGGGTTAGGTTAGGATAACTTGGACCCGCGTAGCCTACAGTATACAACAATGGGCCCAACTACAAAGAGTGTACCTATTTAAATATGTGAGGAAGGTGACGCCATAATTGGAAATGGTTGAATAAGCTGAAAATGATCATGATGATGATTAAATAAATAAATATTTTTATTTACACCAAAAATATGACACTACTGGACTCTGCCAACCAAAATTAAATTTATAAAAGGTTTTGTTTGCATTTTAGTTGTAAATTCTACAAATGATATAATGTGTCCTAGAGTTGCCATATAGGGTTACCAGATTTTTGTATCAAAATTCTAGCGAAAAAAAACGAGAGCAAAAAAAACGACGACGCTCTCGGAAAATAAAGGTAGGTATACAGGGTGAGTCTTAAATAAGTGCAAATATTTTTAGGGATATTATATTTTGACCCCAGACACCTGACCCCAATTTATGAGCTTTTTTGATTTTTTTTTGAAAAAAAATTGGAAATGCTTGGATATCTTCATAATACGGCAACATTGGTAGTAGGTTAAATTTACAAGAAAGGAAATCCAAAAAAAGATACAGTAGTTCTCAAAATTTAAGCGAAAAATCATTTTTTTTAATTTTCAAAAAAAAATCTCGCTTATTTTGGAGTTATTTGAAAAACGGCAAAGAGAAAATTTGTTTCCTTTATCGAGATCTACAAGCCCTGAAAATATTTGCACTTATTTAATACTCACCCTGTATATTAAAAATTACAATAAAGAATTTTAATTTATATATAACATATTATAATTTAATTTTAATATACCTATCTTGTCAGAATTAAAAAAAATGTTTATATCAATACCCGATCGAACGTTTATAAAAATAAAACAATTATTGATGTTATAATTAATATACAGGGTGCTACAAAGAACATAAAGATTATTTAAGAAAGGGCGATTTTCACAAATCTAAGATTTGCCAACATTCATGGGACACAGGAAACAGAGTAGATATTAATAACGCAAAAATTATAATGAAAGAAGCGATAACCTCTAAAAGAAAAATAAAAGAGGCTTTTTTAATACAAGCTAATAAAAATAAACGTATTGCTCATGCATCTCTAGATGTTAGTAATGTATGGCTATCGCTTCTTTAATTTTAAAGAACATAACATACGTAAAAATTAAAAACAAATTAAAAAATAATTATACAGAAAGTTTGAAGCTTTTTGATTTTACCCTATTAAGTAATTGTTAATTTTGAAGTTTAACTTGACATAATGTCATTTTAACAGAACGTCAACAGTTTTATAGACGTATCTGTTTTAGAAAACTAAAGTGTTCTCATACAGTTGCATTTAGATATTTTAAATAGATTTTTTCTTTGTTCTTTGTGTTTTTTGTTTCCGACGACGGGAAGAGATATACTTCCCGAAACGTTAAGCATTTTTTTGTCCGTTAGGCAAATTTGTTTAATTAGTAAACCACTGCTGATTATTAGTATCCGTTGGATTAACGCAGCAGTGTTTACAAAAAATAACTATTTTATTTGTAGATTTTCTTACAGTGGCGAAATACCCATAGGACTTTTTTGGAGAGATGAATCTGCCACAGAGGTATAGACATTTTTTATTAATCAAAAGTGTGTATTTTTTTACTTTGTGAACTTTATAACATTTGATGTCATAATAATTTGATTGGTGCTTTCCGGAATAGTAGAGATATAATGATTTTCCGGGATCCATGACAACTTACTTAATCCCGGATTTTAAATAAAGCTATTCTTTATTCTTTGTGTTTTTTTGTTTCCAACGACGGGAAGATATATACACACAACCAAACTTATATGGAATCATCTATTATTTTTTTAATTTTTGAGACGTATGAAAATTTTGTGTTTATGAATAAAACTCAGTCCTTACCAATGACTTTTAATGAAAAATAATCCATATAGCAATAAAAAAAATAATCAGTTCCCAAAATAAACAAAATGGTATTTTTTTGGTTTCTGAAACGAAATTAAGATTTAAATTTTTAATGGCCAAAAAGTAAAAACAAAAAGAAAATTGATAATTTTAATATTCCTTGTTGCCACTTCTAGCCCTTATGCAAGCTTCTATTCGCGCTGGCATGCTTCTTATTAAATTATCAACGGTGTCTTGGGGTATGTTTTCCCATTCAATAAGCTGTGCAAGATTTCTTGGATTGTTTCGACGAGCTCTAACCCTTCTTTTGAGCTAGTCCCACAAGTGTTCGATAAGGTTTCGACCTGGTGAACATGCAGACCAGTCCAAAACTATGACCCCTTCCGTTTCCAGACATTCTCTAGTCACTCTGCTGGTATGGGGAGATGCACTATCGTACAAGAAGTGGTAACAATGGAGTTTTTGCTTCCAGTATAATACCTCCCCCTATATCTTGATACAGATTTGGCAGCCTGAAGTCGCGCTCCTCTTTCTGGAGCTCTATAAACCTGAATTCGATGGTTATCTGATCTTAGGCCAATTCTGGTCTCATCCGAAAAAAAGAATATTTTGCCAATTCTCAGTTGTCCATTTTTGATGTTGAAGGCATCAATTTAGCCGGTCAATCTTATTTTGCCGAGATAACTGTGGGATCCGTAACTCTCTCGTACTTTAAAATCCTCGAGCACGAAGCCTTTTTGTTATGGTTTCAACTAAAACGTTCACACCTGTAGCTGTCAGAAGTTCTCTTTGTAGCTCTGGATGCGAAACATTGGGATTTATTCTAGCAATTTGGTCCACAAGGTGGTCTTTTTGTTCAGTTGTGACTCTTTGACGACTTTGTCTGGGCCTATCCTTGTGTGTTCCTAATTCCAAAAGTATCTTACATTTGTTTTCGATACAACAGGTACTTGGGTAACCTTGGTACCTGGGTAATGCCTACTATCTCTGCTACGTCTCTTTGGAACATTCCTTGTTAGATGAGAGCAATAATTCTTTCCCTCTGTACATCTGTTAATCCAACATAAGGCATTTTTTTTTGGATTACCGGACAATCGTGATTTTATTACTGTACACAAAATTCAAAACAAAATAAATCGCAGCAGTCGTTTATTATTTATTATCATGTTTATTTACAACAAAAATCCTGATCTTAAGGTCGTCTACCAATTTTTATCCTTGCAAGAAATTTAGTCAGAAATAAAGAGCGATTCCATATAAGTTTGGTTGTGTGTACTTCCCGAAACGTTAAGCATATTGTGTCCGTTAGGCAAATTTGTTTAATTAGTAAACCACTGCTGACTATTAGTCGCCGTTGGATTAACGCAGCAGTGTTTACAAAAAATAACTATTTTATTTGTAGATTTTCTTACAGTGGCGAAATACCCATAGGACTTTTTTGGAGAGATGAATCTGCCACAGAGGTATAGACATTTTTTATTAATCAAAAGTGTGTATTTTTTTACTTTGTGAATTTTATAACATTTGATGTTATAATAATTTGATTGGTGCTTTCCGGGATAGTAGATATAATTATTTTCCGGGAACCATGACAACTTACCTAATTCCAGATTTTTCCGGAAATCTCGGACGTCTATAATTTTCTCGTCTATACGTTCCATCTAGAATTTTTGTCTTATTTTCATAAAAAGATAAAAAATTTCAGGTGATGTCGAAAAACTACCAGTTTATTATTGCAATTAGGAACGTTACACTCGTAGCAAGTTCTCGATCAAAAACACATCTGTACTTTTTCCCACCGCCATACTGTTACTTTTTAGCACTTTCATATATCTAGACCAGTAGGATGACCATCAAAAAACGAGATTTTCGCAACCCACTACGTTCTTCTTTACACATATAGTACTATATGGAGTACCACGATCGGTATATCGTTCTCTTCGGGCACCATACACTTGGGGGGGTTCCCAATCCGACTTCTTAGGCGGGTGGTTCTGATGCGGCCAGTCGTTTAACGACCGAAACGAATTCAAGTCGCGCAAGTGGTACCCTACCGTTAGTAGTACCGCTCGATGAAGAACGTAGTAGTATTATAATCGGGTCTGATATTACGCTATCGCGTGGGTGGTTGTATTTGATTGATAGTACTTTCTTCGTATAAGTGCGTGTTTATTGAACCCTGAACTGAACATTAGTGCTGGGCGTTGAAATTGTTTTTGAAGGAGATAAGGATGGATTTCTGGAGGTACTATATTCGATATAATTTGTTTAATTTTTAAAAAAAGTGTATAAATATTTGATGATCTTTATAGTATCTCTTACTTTTATAATAATTTGTGTCTATTCAGAAACAATTTACCTAAAATTATTTATCATTTTTTAATTATTGTTTCTGTTAAAATTACCTTATACCTATCAAAAATAGTAGATAAAATAGTACTTAAACCGCAAGGGTAGATTATATGATACCTTAACAGCGAGGATAGGTTAAAAACTTTATTTCTTCTCGCACGTTTTTTAATTTTAATTGCTTCCATTTTTGAAAATTTTTGTATTCCTTTTCATATGTTATTCGGGATTTAAATGGAAGTAGTTTGGATAAATATGGCGTTTGTCGCCTCAGCCTGAATATCTGTTGGTAATTTACTTATTTCGTTTTGAGCCATTTCTGGTTCCAACTAAAAAGACAGCTTTATTTATTTGTCAAATTACATAGAAACCAACGCCAACCCAGCACAATATTTTTTCTACTCGTAATAAATTCCTTGAAATAATAACTTCTGAATATTTTTTAAAACGGAACTCGCTATGGAAAAAAATATTGTTTTATACACGACGATAAAATTGCATTATATCGTCTAAAATACCATTTTATCGTCTTGTATAAAAAATAAGTATTATTTATTATTATAGTGATAAGTAATAATTTTTCTTTAAAAAAAACATCTATAATATACATGTTTTGTCATGTAACAATGATTGATACTAATTCTCATAGTTTCAATACATTACCTTGTATATTATTCAATTATGGATTCTTCGTGTTCGGATTTTCACTACATCCTGTTGAGTTAGGTTAGGTCATTCCTCCCAAAATTCCTCGGATGATCATTGGACTGTTAGAATATCCGAGGATTTAAATTATCCGATTATTTCCAACACAATACCACATAATTTTTCTCCAATTTTTTTGGAATTATTAAGTAGCCTTAGTAAAATATTGTTTTTTTTTGCAGGACAGTAATTGTCCGTATTAAAGTCACTTGAATTTGGTTAACTGCATATTAGAAAAATGGCTCAATTAACTAAAATGCACAAAATAGCAATTTTGTAGATGATAGGCCATAGATATAGAAGATGAACATATACCTATAGTTGCTGTCTTATTTCATACAAAAAAATTGGCGCCGGGAGGCATGTATAGCCGCCCATACCAAATTATGTTAATAAAAAGTTGGTAGGCAGTAGTGTTGGGAAAATTCGAATTAAATAATACGACTAATTCGATAGTAAATTAAAACTAACTAATTCGATTATCTTTTTCGATATAATCAACATAAAAATTAGTAGTATTTTATATTATATCTGTAGTAACCGAATTACAAATGAACATAAAACATAACCTGTTATGGACGAATATTAGTTATTAGTACTATTTAGTAGTATTCTTTCGTTCTGAACGAACTGAAAATTTTCACTTAAACTGATTTATAAAGGGAATCGACAAAAAAAGGAACGATCCGATATAGAAAAATCCAGAAATCGTTGTTATTTCCTATACCACGTAGGAATAAATCGATTTAAGTGAAAATTTTCATTTCGTTCAGAACGAAAGAATACTACTACTATTTAGTTCATTTCCATCTCACTGATAAAATAAAAAGAAATACGAACCGCACGTAAACAAAGACATACTTATATCGTTTTAGAAGAAATTTTAGAGAGGAAGTTTTCAATAGGAATTGAAATGTTTATAAAAGGCCATATCAATAACAATCATAAACTCGGCACTTTTAAATTTAAAACTTTAAATTATGGTTTAATTTATTAAACGGCTTCGGCACAGTTAATAGAATACATTGAATAAAGAATATTTTTTTTATTCTTTATTCAGTGATAGAATATAGGTATGGCAATGGTTCAGAATTTGTTTAAAATAGCCCCTAGACGAGCACTAGCTGGGACGAATTTATTTTTAGGTTAAATTTATAATTCTACTAAATAATTCGAATTATTAATTCGCTTGTGAAATATGAATTACGAGATGAATTATTACTAATTATTCGATGGTGAAAATAATTCGATTATTCCCATCACTAGTAGGCGTTCTTTTAGTTTCAAAGTAAAGGAATTTTTCCAATTTTGGTCCGCGGTTATTTCCCCTATCCGCCACCTGGGGTCGCATCCGATGGGAGTTTGGAGTTCTCCACACGGATTTTCTTTTTTTTTGTTTTTTTTGGCTTTATCTCAAAAACTACGGCTTCGACACACTTTGATATTATCTTAAGTTTTATTTAAAATATATTTCCGTACATAAAAGTGAAAACCGTGTTTTGCTAGCTGTTTTGTTTCTGAGTTATAATTTTTTAAACAATATTTATTTTTTTTATCTCAAAAACTGCGACTTTGACTGATTTTGATGTTATTACAAATTTTGTTGCAAATATTATTCCTAATCTTAAATTGAAGACCGCGTTACGCTAGCTACTGTAATTTTGGAGTTACGATTTTTTAAATTTTTTAACCCCCTCCCATAGCCCCTTACCAACCTCCCACCCCCACCAAAAACTAATAGCCAGATTCTCGGGTGCCACAGTATTTTTGTGCCAAATTTGGTTAAAATCGGTTTAGCGGTTTTTGAGTTATCGTGTTGCAGACAGACGGACAGACAGACAGACACCATGAAAATATTTTGTATTTAGGCCATTTATGACCCAAATAACTCATTCTGAGTGAAATTAAAAAAACATTTTTTTGTCGATCTTAATAGCCTACCATACCTGTTGGCATGGTCGGCTAATAAACAATTTTATTTTGTTTTTATTTTTTAACCAATATAACCCAATTGGTATTATTACTTGTTGCTCATTTCATTTCTTCTACTAAAACTTTTTATAACAGGGTGTGTCAGATAACAATGGCTAATATAAATGGCTTCTCTATAGTCTTCCATGATATGATGAAAGATCATAATTTGATCTCTTTTGTTGGTTTGGTATTTATTTCAAATAATCGATGAATAGAAGATGTAGGTTTTCATCAAACTCAAGTATAATATTATCTAAATAAATATAAATAATAGTAGGTAAGTAGCAGTAAATTTAAAAAAAATTGTTTAAAAAAAAGTAATGTCGTTAGATATAATAATAATAATATTAATAATAAAACGTCTTTATTCATTAATCTCAAAAATTGAAATAAAAATTGAAACAAACGGTATAGGGCATATGTATTTTAATATTTTATAAAGGAAATTTCCTAGTATTCCAATGTCATATGATGCTAGTTTTAAGGCCTTTATGTGTAGAGGATATTGTTTTTTCTAATTGACTCAGTCAAACTGTCCTGATAATGGGAATAAAATTCTCGAAAGCTTGACAAATTTGAAAAAGTAGTTTTATTAGCCTGTGTGGTGATTATTGACGGCATCCTCACTTAAATTTTGAGTTTTTTCTAAATTAATAGATATCATTACTTATCACATTAGCAGCTTCTTTTTATCTGGCTTACATGCCCATGTTTGCAAAATTGCCTTTTTATTTTACTATCTGTTCTTATATTGCAGGAACAAGATATTTTAGGATACAGACGAACAGCTTCCAATTGTATCTTGTTATATCTATAACAAATAATCTGCTGAATGGTTATTTTTATTTTGTGCAATTCTGTTAAATTAACAATTTTCCGATATATAGTTAACGAAATTCAAACGACTATAACATTGGCAACTACTGTCCTGCAGTGAAACAACAATCTGTTAAGGCCAACTAATATGTCCGAAACAGTTGAATAATACACACAACCAAACTTATATTGAACTTATATGTATTATTTTTCATAATTTTCGAGACGTATAAAAATTTTGTGTTTATGAATAAAACTCACTCCTTACCAATGACTTTTAATGAAACATAATCCATATAGCAATAAAAAAATTAATCAGTTTCCAAAATTAACACAATGGTATTTTTTGGTTTCAGAAACAAAATTAAGGTTTAAATTTTGAATCACACAAAGAAAATTGATAATTTTAACAATCCTTGTTGCCACCTCTAGCCTTTATGCAAGCTTCTATCCGCGCTGGCATGCTTTTTTTAAATTATCAACGTTATCTTGGGGTATGTTTACCCATTCTGCTAATGCTGCATCAATAAGTGCAAGATTTCCTGGATTGTTTCGACGATCTCTAACCCATCTTTTGAGCTGATCCCACAAGTGTTCGATAGGGTCTCGATCTGGTGAACATGTAGGCCAGTCAAAAACTATGACACCTTCCGTTTCAAGACATTCTCTAGTCACTCTGCTGGTATGGAGATATGCACTGTCGTGCATGAAGTTAAAATTATCCCCAATTGCAGCTCTCCAAAGACTAACGATTGGTTCTAGCACTAAATTACCATACCTCCGACCCGTTAAAGTTTGTTGAAGTGATAATAATGGAGTTTTTCCTTCTAGCATAATACCTACCCAGAACATTACAGTTCCTCCTTTATATCTTGGTACAGATTTGCCAGCCTGGAGTCTCGCTCGTCTTCCTGGAGCTCTGGAAACCCGAGTTCGATGGTCATCTGATCTTAGGCCAATTCTTCTCTCATCTGAAAAAAGAACACTTTGCCAATTCTCAGTTGTCCAGTTTTGATGTCGAAGGATCAATTTAGTCGGTCAATTTTATTTTGCCGAGATAACTGTAAGATCTGTAACTCTCCTGTTGTAAAACCCTAGAACACGTAGCCTTTTTCTTATGGTTTCAACTGAAACGTTTACACCTGTAGCTGTCAGAAGTTGTCTTTGTAGATCTGGATGAAAAACATTGAGATTTCTTCTAGCAATTTGGCACCCAAGGCGGTCTTGTTGTTCAGTTGTAACTCTTTGACGACTTTTTCTGGGCCTGTTCTTGTGTGTTCCTAATGCCAAGTCCAAGTACCTTGCATATATTTTCGATATAACACCCTGGGTAATGCCTACTATCTCTGCTACGTCTCTTTGGGATATTACTTCTTCAATGAGAGGAGCAATAATTCTTCC